CATTAACCCACTAACATGATCAATAGATATGTTTCTGATGTTGTTTTGATGTTTTTATGAATTGAAAATGATGAGACTTGATAAGCACTGTCCAGGTAAAGCTCATTCACTGTCTGTAGCATAAATGTATTAACTATTCACACTACAAGTGCTATTCCAAAGTAAATTTATGGATATGCAAATATACCTAATGGGAAACTAATGTGAGTGCATTTTCAATCTAGTTCCTGATATTGTGCATCCCTATTAGCATATGGGCCGTCTGTTCTACAAATGTTAATTTGAAGGATTATGAAGAAAGATGAGCACATCAAATGTGTAGACGTGTGTAATAGTGTAGGATAGTGCATGTGAAACAAAAGAAAGCTGTGCAGAATCTAATCTGATCAAGAATTTGGGTTAATTTTGGTGTGTAGCTGAAGGCTTGCAGTGCACCAGTGGTGCACGTGGAAACAGGAGGGGATTGGGAGGAATCTATTAACATACATTACGAGTCTTCGGAAGTGGTTTGTGGCCAGTAGCACGGATATTATTGCTTTAAAAGCAGTAAATACTGACAGTTGTGGTAATGGAGTGGAGAGTCCAGATCAGCATCTAATCAGCGGAGAGCGTTCTCTTGTGTGTGATGTGCAGCGGTTGCACATGTGAAACTACAGCAGCCTGAGAATATATTGCGTGATTATTTTGCAGCAGCCTAAATGTGGTTGTGTTCAATTTAACGAGGTTAACCACAGTGCACTGGTGTGCATGTTTGTACTTTAAAAATGCACATCGGGGGCTAACGTAATTAAACACTCATCCTTCGACATATACCACCACACTAAGTTCCATTCTCAAATATAACATTTCACTTTCTTTTTCATCGGCATTAATTAGTTCCACCGCATGTCACTTATTTAAAAAGAAAATACATCACGTTTAAAAAATCAGGTTTGCCTGTTACGACCGTTATTTAATTCTTCCAAAAGACTGGAGAAGAACGCCGAAAGTAAATGCTAGGTGTTTAGTTTTCATTACAACTAAATTATGACCAGTGTGTTACCTGCATGCCAAATTAGTCGGCGCAAACGAGGCCAAACTGCCTCCTAAGTTACCATACGATCGGTTGCTGACAAGCAGTGTGACATTTAAAAGTGTTTCTTTCCTGAACAGAGTCTGGTGTAGTGCTCACTCCACATTACATCACCTCCAGCAAACAATGAAGGCAAAACAGCATCACCGATCTGCTTTCACAGAATATTCTTTAGTCTAGCTCAGCTAGAAACACAAAAACACAGAATCCGTCGACACGTTAGTGTGCCGTTCACTACTCGAGCTTTTTGTAACCAGTAGGCTACCGCCATCGTTATCTTGACCTCACCTGTCCCTCCTCTGCTCCGCATGTCTGTGAAGAGGTTAAGCCCCCCTGCAGAATTATGTATATCTGTGAAACACGAGAGCAGCGGGGCTCATCATTCTACAGCAACACACCACTGAATGAACACTGCCGCTAACTCCCTACGCATCTGATGAATGTTAAGACCTTATGTAATAAAGAATTAAAGTATGTTAACTGACTAACACAAAGCTTGTTCCTGCATCCCATTTCATACTCTGCTTGTGTTGAATTAGCCCTAATTCTTCTGTTTGTCCCTCTTTTACAGGCACTGGTAGGCATTTACTGGAGTTGCAATCTCTTGATGATCTCAGAAAAATGCCACGAGGCTCATCCGTATGGTGGAGTGGTGGTGTGTCACCCTAAAGAAGCTAAAGAGAGAAAAAAGGAGCCTTGAGGAGTTAACGTTCATCGCTGCAGTGCGAGGTACAGGCAGACTTCCCTGCTGTTGTCCAATCTAAATATTCAGCAGAACAAAATGTGCATCGTGCCCTTTTACAGTCACAATACATATTGATTTTTTCGCCTCACAATACCTAAGGCATTTAACTATAAGATGGGAATACAGTAAGTTAAGTCCACCTGTGGACATGAGTAATCATAATCATATAGATTCAAGCTTCTACAAATAAGTCTTAAATCAAGACTCACTCATTCCATAATAGTGAACTAAAGACATCATGGAACCAACTTAAAAACCTATCCTCTAAGTTGATCAACACTGGAAACTGCACTCCAGTCTTCATTATGGAATCTGAAGAGAGAATGACAGGACTGTCCACAGCTGCGTTGGTAGCCATCGCCTGCAACACGTTAGTCGCCATCCTCCTCCTTCTCCTCTGTCTAGTCCTCTACCGAGCCTGCGGGGTCCCGTCCAGCCAGGCGAGGCCGCCGGTGTTGGCTCCGAGTGAAGGAGAAACCCAGCAGGTGAACGAGCTCAAGTGCCCGTTGACCTCCTGACTGCAGAGGGATGAGTCAAATGCAGCGACGAGCGACGACCACCGTGCACTCCTCCGCTGGAGAGGGTACTGAGCGAGCACCGGGGCTGACTGCAAGCAACAATCAGACTTGTCCTTCGCTGGTTTTTAACGCCAGCTGCCGATCTGATGGCAGAAATGGCTGTGCCTCCCAGAGATAGCGAGGATGGATTGTGGGTTGACTATTTTTAAGCAGCTGTCACTTGTGGATGTGAATGTTTAGCATAGACACACACATACTGAGAGGGAAAGGACAAGGCCACAAGGATGGATGCAGGTTACACAAAGACAGAGAGAATGGAAGGTTCAGTGCACAAAGAGCGGCTGGCCTGTTGTTGGAGGTTTCTAAATATATCCTCTCTTTACTCTCTCCGGGAAAAAAAAGACAATACCTGTATATTGCTGAAAACAAGGACTTCAGCCTGTGTGGAGTGTGTGTGTCATTGTCACTCATAAAAAACAGCGATCTGTGAGGCATAGCGCCTGGCTGAGGGTGTTACATAAGGACACTAGAGGCTTTGTCGAGATTTGTGTCCTCTTCAATGCGGCCCTCACACTGACATCTGCTTGTGGCTGTACGTGATGGCCCACTCGCTCTGGACTGAATCACATGGATGCACGTACATACAGAGGCATCAATCATGTGGAATTCTACAGATCACAAAAATAAACTGCCCACATTTCCCCCCCCACAAATGATCAAGACTTAGGAATTGAACCTGTATCGCCAGTGCTGCAACTTCAGACTCAACAAGGCGTGTTGTAGAGTTAAAAGATGTGTATTTTAAACTTTACAATATCTTCAAGTAACGCAGAGTAAGGAGTACGTTATTTAAATATTCTACAGAAACACATAGTGTCGGCATTTCTAGGACCATTTTGTCAGGCTGGAGAATATCAGAATCAAGACATAAGAGAAATAGACCCCAGTAGACCAGAACACAAAACAGTCATGAAACATGTTGTGATTCGAGTAAAACTGTCTGTTTTAAGAGGAAACCTTGAAAAGAAGAAGTTCATACTACTCTGAAGGGTTCATTTTATTAGAATAGTTTACTAAATCAATGTCAACATCACAACAGATACATAAAAAGAAAATAAAAAGATTACAGCACCTCATTAAAAAGCTACTGGTGCCCTGTAAATAATATGGATGACATGTAAGAGTACTAGTACACAGGACATTTGCTCTGGAAATACTACAGTTGTTCAAATGTGCACTTGAGGTCCTTGGGGTAGCTTAAGTTGAACGCATAAATCAGTTCGAAAAGTATTACACATCCAAGGGTGACACTTGGTAGGTTTTGCAAAAATGTCAACGCCTTCAAGTACAACGCCAGTATCTTTAGGCTCTTCTTGAGGACCGGGACCTTCCCTCCGAAAGACGTAGATGCCCATCGTTGTCTGTGCAATCCCCGACACAGCCTCTGTCATCCCGCTGTCCTGGAGGATAAACACAGAGAACAATGAGCTGTGTTCCCATATGGTCACATTGTGATATTCCAAATTCTTAAGGCCCACTGTCTCGTAAACTGACACTTCAGATATAATCATTCAATGTACATATGTAAAATAATACATTTTTCAAAACTTCCCACAAAAAAAACGAGGAAGAAAGAATAGCTAAGTAGCTAACAAGTGCAAGTTGGCAAGCTCACGTGACAAAAATGTTTGCAATGCTGGACTTAATGGATTTGACCGTCAATGTATCGATAAAGGCGTGACACGATATCAACTGCACTCATAAAACATGTACATACACAGATAACGGGCAGATTATATAAGATGAGAGCAGATGTAATTTACCTGTTATAATCCAGGCTGCAGGTTGCTCTGAGGTAAGATGGCCGACAAAGCCAGCGTCACTCCCGCTTCTGAACGATTCCATTTCCCGTAGTGTATATGTAAACCAATCTCATGAATCTTAACTAATTGAATCTTGCTCGCTTCACAGCAAGCCATATTCAAACCATATTCATATGTTTCAACCGATTCAATTTAATTGTTGTTAAAAAATAACAGATTCATGCTGATTTTAAGGAATTTGAATAAACATATTTTTGAAAATATGAGTATTTCAATAGAATTAAATCGATGAAAATACACTATGCCATGATTCATTTTTTTGAGTGTGGCTACAATCATTTGTTACGCATTGTCTGTAAAAAGGAAGCCTGATTGAGCAGCCCCTCTCTCACTAAACTTGTGGAGATGAAGTAATGAATCTCACTTAAGGGACAGATTGCTGCATGTGAGGGAGCAGAGAGAGAGAGAGAGAGAGTGCACTGTGGCAGCGTTGAGCGAGAGCTGGGTGGTATTTTACTGAGGGACAAAATCATTAAGTGAGAGAGAGGAATAAATAAAAATGCAAAATAAAGAGGGACACTGCCATGAGTCAAAGCAAAGTTCTACCCATAGATGAGATATTAAAAGGCTTCTATCTCATCCCTGGACGGGAGCCCTGGACGGCTTGTGCCAGCCAAGATAAGTCATCTGGATACGGTCCATAAATTACAAATCTATTACGCTAATTTAACTCCCTGTTCGCTTGCAATAACTCTTCCTAATGACTTTTTAGCTTATGGAATTGTAATGTTGCCTGTTTAACATGTATTAAGTACTGCAGTATAAATAAATGCATTGATAAATGAAACGGAATCATTTATTAACAGCTTAAGAGAGATCAAACAAAAAGCATTTTTAATAAAGATATAGAAATATTTTCGTTGTTATGTTGATGGTGTTTACTGTTGCACACACTGTTCAAAAGACATGTTTTTTTTTTTTTAATGATCAAGAATAAAAGATTGTATCATGTTACTGTGTTGGGGAGCCTCAGCGGCCGCGTTTACATCTGCATTCAACATGAATGCAGATGTAAACGCTGTGATCGGCGGTATCTTCTGGGAGATAATTGGGATTAATAGACAGTTACAAAATATTGCGCAATGCTGCTTTTATATTGACACTGCCACTTGCGATTTGTGGGCAACAACGAATGAGAACAGAACAGACGAGATGAACACATTCATGCTGAACAGAACAGTGTGTTAAGTGCTCATCTAAAAGTGACCTCAGCGGCCGAATTAAGCTGTGCGGTGCTCTGGTTCCCTTAGCAGACTGAGGAGCTCCTCCATCTTGGCTACTTCCACTTCTGGACCCTTCGGCTGCACCTGACCCTTCTTGACCTACACGCGCACACACACACACACACACACACACACACACACAAGCACAGACACACACACACACACACACACACAGAGTGAGAGAGAGAGAGAGAACATTTTGCATATTTGCATATTACATATTTTGCTTACCAAGCACTTAGGAAGACCACAAACCCAGCAGGCAGGCAGTTAACCAGAGGAGAACACAACACAATCAGACATAAACTGAAATGGATGTTAAAGTCAATAGCAGCAAAGAGGTTACAATAATCAATTATATAGTCATTTCTTTCCACCATGTTGTGATGTTGTTTGAAGACATGAAGCTACTGCCTAAAGGACACCACTGCAAAAGGCAAATTCAAACAGAGAGTGTGTGTTGTTCTTATTGGCATATTAAACACTCCTGTGCATAGAAAACCACACACAGCCACTTAAGAGCTATAGCAGGAGGTCATTCTACCTCTGTTATAAGGGTATTTAACGGGCTCATCATTATCAAGTCTTAGAATGTCTATATTATTTTATGACATTTATATAATGATATTACAACTTACTGGATATGGACTTGTATTAATTTCATGAACAAAGCGGCCATTTATATTGACTTGCTTTTGCAGAGAGGCAGGCTACCAGTGGCGGGTCGTGCATTTTTATACCTGGGCCTTCACTGCTGCCACAGCTACGGTTATTATTTGTTTCGTTTAAAAATGAAGCTCAACACCTATAGATCCACTAACTGCAGAGAACACGCCGAGAGTGGGTCTCCTCTCTTCTCTGACTGCAGCGCGAGGCTTCTGTGAGAGTACCCGCCTGTGTGTCCTTTGGGGCGGCGGGATTAGCCGTGGAGAGACACAGAGGTGCACACTCACTCACTCACTCACTCACGGACGGACTCATACACAAACTCACACATGCAACAGATCACATGATCCTCCTGGCAGGGATGATGATGATAACGATGGCTCGTTACATTTAAGTGTCTCAGTAAGTCATAGTGAGCCAGCATGCACGACACCAGGACCACAATGGAATGTAGCTATCATTAATGCTAATAGACACACGAGTGCTTTTCCTAATATGACATCCCATAATGGCTGCTATGTAATGCTAATATAATCATCTATTGTGTGTGTAGTATTTTTGCATTGAAGAATGACAAACGACCTGTATGCATACTAAAATATATTTCATGGATATATTTTTGAGTGCAATGTTGACACAATGATGGACGCGATCATCCCATGATGGAATATACAGTACAGCTGTGGTTTTGACACCAAAATACACCGTAAGTCTTAATTTGATGTCTGTGCACCTTTTACCATTAAATCAAATTCTTGTAATCACAATAGTACACTTTAATTCGTACATTAATATCTTTTTAATAGATTTATGTTTAGAAGTGTTGCAGTGACAAAGTGTGACTGACGCCTCAACACGGTAGAAAGAACGAGAACTCCTCCTTTGAAGCTCGGAAAATGTAAATCGATATTGTGGTGTAACTGTTTTGAAGTTTGAAATGGATACAGTGAGTGGGTTGATCCAGACAGACAGCTGCGTTCCCGAAACGAATGAGCATCAAATCTCGATGCAACATGATATCTCTGCCATGATTAATGGCTCAATAAAGCTTCCTCCGTAGTGGAGACAAAGGCTGTTCAAAAGTATAATCAAAATCATATAAAATCATCTTCTCTCAAGATGTTAACATGTGTTCTGATTTATTTTCTATTTTCTTGCTGGCTTGCTTACTGCAGCAGTAAAATCCAAGACTTGTGTCCGCTCATTTACTGGCATTCAACATGAATACAGATGTAAACGCTGTGATCGGCGTTATGTTCTGGGAGATAATCGGGATTAATAGACAATTACAAAATATTGCACAATGCTGCTTTTATGTTACACTTGCGATATGTGGGCAACAACGAAAGAGAAGAGAACAGATGAGATGAAAACATTTATGCTGAACAGAACAGTGCGTTGTGTTGAACACAGACGGGGGTAATTTGATGCTAAGTGCTCATCTAAAAATGATCAACAGTTGGAGTGTGTGTCTAAAGTTGACTATAACGTGGACTTTCGGGGACCTAATATTGTGAAACAGTTTCAGACCAGATTCAACCTGAAAGTGAAGCCTGCATGAACGTTCTCTTTCTCCAGGATAACACCACGTATCCACAGTTCTATAGAGTTCTGTGTGTGTGTACAGCATAACAACAGGCACACCTGACACTACCTCTTACTGATGGTTGCCCTCAGGCTTACAACGGGGAAATAACTGCTCACTTCAGCACAACAGAGCATTCGAGAACATCCTGTGGTAAACCTTTTTGTTTTCTGACACTTAAAGTCAGAGTTCTGACATTTGACCTCTCATTTTAGAAGCCCCCAAACAATTAATTCATTTCGAGGTGCACTACAAGACAACAGAGGTTAAGTGGAATTTTATGGTGAGAGTAAATGAGCCAAGAAGTTGGACTGCGCCGACAGCCTTACAGCATTTTGGGGTATTTTAATGCCCATTGAGCAAGTTTTAGAGCGCTGCAGTGCCAATTTTACAAGACATATTACTAATAATATTTGCTGTGGGTGTTGACCGCAGTCAGTGGTGCTTAACTATACAATTACTCCCCAATTGTACGCTTTAGGGCTACAGTCTGAGGTCTGAGGCTAATGAGGTACCACTGGATGTGTGTGTGTTGCTATGTTGTACCCATTCAAACTGAGTTATGCGAGTGTTTGAATGAGAATTGTTTATGCGTGTTGCACCCAGGCACTACATTGCAGTGTATAATACACAAGAATGCGTTGTGAAATAACTATGTATTTCTCTAGTCATTAGAAGGTTTTTTTTCTAGTTTACATGCACCTATGTGGCCAACACAAAGGAGCACAAAAGAAACGTCTGGAGAGGTGGCAGAGCAGACTCTAAATGGGCCCTGACTAAAGTGTTGTGACTCAGCGTGCCATTAGGTTTCCTCCTGTGTTTAGTAGGGCGGCTTTGATTACTCCACAGCTCATTAACCATTGTCACTGGGTAGCAACAGAGCCCTCAGTGACTCATCAATTGTGAATGGAGTAAAGTGGAATTTAGTTTTACTGTAAACAAGTTGCTTTGAATCCAAAATATATTTCAGCTTTCTTTTCTTTAAGAATATTTTCCCCACTATGTCTTCGCATTCATTTCATTGCCATCTGGTGAAATTAGTTCGAGGTCAGGACTCATGCAAAGGAACAATAATACAAAAGGGCAGACATGCATTCAGATGATTTACAGATAAGATGGTATATAAGGTGAAAGAAGTTTTTTGAATGTTATCAGCTGATTTAATGGGCTTTATCAGCGGTCATCACTATCAAGTGATAAGTGATCACTAATGCAAGTGACGTATGGTTTCACACAGGACTCAAACAATGGTCCTCCAGGTGAAAGTCCTGTGAACGTTTGACCCATCCATCGCCCCTTATGGGCCCCATTTTCCCCGGGCGCCTGTCATGGGCAGCCCACTGTTCCCTATATCATTACATCACCTCACTTCCACCTTAATTTCCTTCATAATTATTACAGTGAATAGAGGTCAGTGCGTCTTCTTGTTTTTGTATCGATGATCGAACACATGATAACAGCTCTCTCAACCTACTAGTAGCTGTAGCAGGCCCCATCTAACCTACATCTATGATGCTGATAACACCCATTCAATTGACTGTTAACATCCAAAGCAGGGGGCAAGAACACAATAAGACATTCAAATGCAATGGGAACAATGCAGAACACACTTCTCCATAGTGCTGAAAGTGGCAGAAGACTTGGTATTAAATTTGTAATGTGGACAAGCTCCATTCGTATGTGCCAATAGAGCCTCGTTATAAAGACAAAGCAGCAAGAGAAAAAAAACACGGAACGGTAAAGCAGCTGCAGTTGGAAGGATTAAAATGGGCATAGCTTTGAAGTAAATTAGCTCAAACAATTCCCTCTCTTGCAACTCGATTAGATTCTTACCTTGGGTTTCTTGCGGAGGTTGGGGGAGAGTTTGAGGCTGCTGACATAGCCTCGGTCATCACCCACAGTGATGATAGGATGGATGGGATTAAACTCAATGTGAGTCAGCTTGGTCTTTTTGGCCACCACCGACTGCTGGCAGATGGCCTCATATTTGTTGACGCTGAGGTCAAAGACATGAACCTGAAAAAGACGAGTAATCAAAAGAATAAACGTGTTGTTTATGAATCTTTTTTTTGTTACAGTTCTGACCCACTGAACTGAGATTTCAAGAGTTTGGCATCACCACCAACACTAAAAACTGACCCATCTTATTGACCACCATTATTTAGGCCGGAGGACTACATCATGTCTGAAGATTCTGAAGGCTAGATCTGTTGCTGCTATTGTATATCTCGTGTTTGTGTTGTCTATTAAGGAGCCTGGTGGAGCACAAGCCTCTGCAGGGATGCAGCCTGAACATCTGGTGCAAAGAAAGGTGTTCCCAGTAATTCAATGAGTGTGCACTTCTGTCAGTATGTGTGTATGTATGTCAATGGTGAATGGACTTCCATTGATAGCATGCATATCAACATTCACACACACACACACCCATACACAGAGGCTGCCATCACAAGTGCCACCTGCCCATCAGATCTAAACTAATGCAGATTCACACACACTCAAACACCGATGCCGACAATCCACACTTCGACATGTGGACGTGAGTCGCCGGGGGACCCAACAACCGATCTTCCGATTAGAGGACGACCCGGTCTGCCTTTGAGCCACAGCCGCTGTGTGTTTGTCTGTGCTGGCATACAAAACCATAAGCATCATTATCCAGAAGGGACCAGATCACAGACATTCTTTTTTCAGCGTATAAGTGCATTCAGACAATCTGTCCAGCAACGAATAAGCCCACTGCAGAGCACGGCCCACTCCTTTTACCAGAAAGATGACTGTGCCCGGGCTGTTAGGGTTCACACCGTGTATGTGTACCAACACCACGTTAAGCACCACAGTCACTGACAACCAATCATCATATTCTACCAGGGTATGAATTTCTGTAACCTCCATCACGTCAGCCATTATCTGCAGTGTTTTCCCTTTTGATATATGAGCACTAATGTAACATTAGTCATACCTGATTGCAGTACACACTGATTTGTAATTCACACAAGATACATTTTACTGTGTTGAAATGATTGGCTATAATTTATTAAACCTACACTGTAGAACATATTCATTTGACTTGATTTTAAAATATCAAATTGTTATATTATTGAGGCAGTTTTTATTGCTTTAGGTTGATGTTGTTGCATCAGATCTAAAAAACCGAGCATGAGCTGATGCAGGTATTCTAACTGAAATTTGAAGCAGTCCATGTGCAGAAGGTTAAGAAGAGCTGCACACAGAGCGAATATGGATTTGGAGTCTAATCACTGGAGGATAAGCTTGGACTTCTCATTATTTCATCCTGACACTTTATTTCATCGTTTGGCACCTCAGACGGAGAGGCAGTGACAGAGAGAACCAAGAGATATTTGTTTGCACTGCACAACTCAGTGTCAGTTCTACACCTCAGCTTGCCAGGCAAGTCATTATCCTTATTAACACATGTACGCACACACGCACGAACGAACACACACACCCACACCCACACACACACACACATGTACGCCACTGTGTCTCTGACATTCTGCAGTGTGGCAGCAGCAGCAGCAGGCCAGGTTTTCATCAACAGAAAACACACGTGAGGGGGCGCACAGCTCATGCTGAGTCACTCAAGCTCTATCAGACACTCAGAAAACAACAATGTACTGCAAATCATGCCGACTAACATCATGCACTATATGACCGCACCAGTGAATGTGGAAATTCTGACAATATTCTGCCATTCTTCAAAATGTGACAGTGACCAAAGAGCACGTTCAGCCTCGCTTTGGAACTGAATGTACGATCATTATTTAGTGGATACAGTTAATTCTGCACAGCCCCGTCCCTCAGTCCCATCCCTCAGCTTACAGATGACATTTACACCTCGATATGTGGCATTGCAGCAAATACTAATATAATATCTATATAACATCACGAGCTCACAAAGTCTAAGCAAGCACATGCTTAAAATCACATTTGAGTTCAGCACACTGAGGAAAAATAGATCAGCACTCTGACCTTGATCGACTCCAATTTAATATTCTTGTCTTTGCCGCTGCTTAGAGAGGAGAGGATATTGTTCTCCTCTTAATGTATGCCAACTGATGAGCTTTTAATGAGTTTTTTAATAGCTGCTGAAAGTGCTTTTGATCCAGTTTCAGAGGATAAATTACAGGACTGAGATTTAATATTCTTTCTAGCAAAGTCATTTATTTAGTTTTTTTTCTCTGTAGAGGATGTATACAATTTCTAAAAAAAAACTGGTGATTTTATACTGTGTTTAATAATCTGTCTGTATACATTTAGCCATTTAGCTTGTATACTATAAGGGGACATTTCATTTATGGTTGTGAATTTGGTAAAAAAATGTTTCTTCTCTTCCATAACTAATCAAGACTAATGTTTGGTTATGAAATATTTTGGGTAATCATCTGTACACTATAGTATGTATTGAGCCTATGGGGACTGAACTCTGGCATTGGAAAGGACGGGAAACACACACACACACACACACACACACACACACACACACACACGCACACACACACATACAGTGTCTCTCAAATTGCTCAGCTCTCCTTTCCTTTTTTATCATTCTCACTCGACTTCACTTGGCACACTGGACAGGAAATGTGTCAGACAAAACACTCTGGACTTTCATAGCATGGTGCAGGCTGGTGCGAAGACAAACAGATGGGGACAGCTTGAAGCCATACTAAGAAAATATGCGAAGATAAGCAACAAGGCATCCACGGAAATGACTTTTGACTGGAATCAATAACCACTGGCAGGGCAGGAGCCCGCCTTAGTCACAAGAAACCGTGTTTGAACAAACTCAATTGCCTGAGGCTATTCTGCATATAAACGTAAAACACTTCAATGTACAATCAATGCTGTGAGGTTCTTAATAAATCTAAGTGAGAACATGCACTGTGGCTTGAACCAGAGTACTCTAAAGGCCCAAACAGGCATACGTATGAACTGCTAAACTTCTACGTCAAGCTGAGGGCTGCAAAATGTAAGTTTAGGCGGACACTTACCGTTCCATCTGTTGTGACGGCAGCGAATACAGTGGAGGAGTATGGAGCCCAGGCAACGTCACCAACAGCTGCATTCAGATCAAATGTGAACATTGGAGTGCTGACAAAACACACAGATACACACAGTCAGTCGGGAAATTCCATTCTATTCAATAAAATGCTAAGAAACCGGGCACACACAAGTCTTCTTCAAATATTAAGGGAAGTGTGTGTGTGAGCGAAATAAATGGAGTAGGCAAAACGTTCTATTTCAAGAGGCAACACAGAAGAACCGACTTAGATGCGTACATGAAAGCAATTTGCACTCGTAGTTTGTGGTTAGTTGGTGTTTGATTTACTAAGGCGGAAACTAATTACACATCCAACACCTGAGACGGCCTTCTGGCCACATTCTGCAAGTGAAGCAGAGCTCAAAAGGCCCTATTCAGTGGTAGATGTCCACCATCAGCAAGCTCTGAGACATAAATAAAAAACGTAGCAATGTTGAAATGTGAAATCAAGAATGCATTCAAATGAGCGCTTTTTGAATGTCAAATACGGCCACACACACACACACACACACACACACACACACACACACACACACAC